AACCTCAAATGCCAAAAATAAGATTAAATACATGAAAGTATGTATGGTACTCCGAAGGGATTTAATAACTTTCCCAAACAAGATAGAATCATGTGAAGTAAAGAATGGAATACCAGTTCCAAAAAGATCTAGGATTATCAAAGAAAACCATTTCCTTAGGAATATACAAATCTTCATGTTCAATAAATAAAGAACCGGAAAGAATAACTGAACAAAAAAAATAGTGAACAAATTTAGTATTCAAGAATGTAGAGACTTTCATCTGACATTTTTAAATGAAATGTTACAAGTATTTATTTCAACTAATATTCTCATTATTCTAGTTCTTCTTCTTCAGATGTTTAGTTCTCCAATTCCAAATTTTTGAAATGAAGAATTATGTTATCAGGATTATATGCTTTGCTATTCTACTCAGCATGCACATCTTGGCTTTTATACTCACAAAGTTTCAGCCATTGTACCCTCTATCCTTCTTCAGGTATTAGTCGTCATTCCTAGTAACCTTCTTGGAATGAAGCCCTTTTAGGGGAGGTAACTCCTATCAGTTAGGGGAGATAACTCATATCAGTTAATATTCACCAGTCTTATTCACATTTATGTTGCTTGTTCGTTTCTTTCACTAAACCAAACTACTTTGACTTTTCACACTACCAAATCTTGGGATTGAACTCACAACTGCTATGGTACCAGATATATTTAAACAAATACTTTAATCTATTAGGACATATATCTCTTGGACTAAACACAGAAAGCAGATTCACAACAATCTATCCCCATGGATTGCTTAACCTTGAGTGGCCACACCTCAGGAAGACTTTGTTTAATCTGTTACTTTTTTATTTTTTAAGTTTGTGAACAGCAAAAATAGAAGTCTATATCAATGAGGAACTATTTGTGTAAAACATTTTTTTTTCAATTTAAAATAATAATGTATAGCCTGATGTTTGTAGACCAAATGCAACCCAACACTTTCTTTTGGTTTTGATGCTCTGCAGATTTGGCTGTTATAAATAAAGACCAATATTTAACAAAAATGAATCAAGCTTGCTTGAACATTGGCTTTCAAGGAAGCATTTTACACAATATGGTCCAGCCCTGTTTTGGCATCCCAAGTACTTACATGTTTATTATGATACTGACAAAAACTTAAACACAGAAAAAATATTTTAGAAAAATGAAAAGTATATTTAATAAGCTAGACTAAAACAAAAAAAAAAAAAAGCTTTGAGTCAATAGAGTGAACTAGTATGTAAACAGACAGTCCAAGGAACCCACTAATAGTATTTACACTGAAAGATAATTAAAAATGGCTTTATTTGCAAGCTAAAGTTTTACACTGAACTAAAGGAAAAATGAAAATAAAAAGGAAAACCAAGGAAAGAAAAGAATAAAAAACTCTGCTCAAAATGTAATAAGTTTGATCTGATGCAAATTTATGTCAACACCAAAGATTTGTCATGAAGTCAAATTTGGATAACACATTGTAAAAGTCAAAATTTTCCCCATTCTGAAATGGAAACTGGGAAAATTTTGTTTAAAAACAGATTTTTTTCTTCTTTATTTTTTTAAAAAAAAAAAAAAAAAAAAAAAAAAAAATTCAACTTCATTTAATTCTAATTTATGGTTTTATATAAATGTTTACATTTTATTTTGTCATACTTTTAAATTAATTTCATTTGCATATATTTGTAAATTAATCACTGGTGCAAATCATGACAAAATGTTTTATTTTCTGACCAAATGATTATATAGCTGATCACAAACCTCACTTTTTTTTTTTAAACTTTTCTCTGTATTAATCCTAATTTTATTTGGAGTTCCCAGTAGATTGTACGTTGTTATTGTGTAAAAGATAAAATTGATTCATGCATGGATTTTAAATCTTGTTCTAATTTTTAGAATCTATTCAGTGAATAAATAAATAATCTTTTAATTTTATCTAATTATTTAAGTTTTTATCATATTTGTGAATAGTTCAAAATTTCAATTTGTTTATTTTGATGTTAGATTTTTCATTATTTTTTTTTTATTCTATAGGGTGTAGCATAAATACCTCCCAGAAAAAAAGACCCACATAATGGTAAGACAGAGATGGAGACACCATTCCTTACCATTATGTGGGAGGTATTTCTACTGCACCATGTACAAAAGGCTGCATAAGTAAGTATATATTAAGTATTATACCAGTCTTATATTGATACATTTGTATGTTTTGTGTTCATATTCATTTTTTTTTTTTGTTTTTTTACTGTATACTTAATTTTGCATCTTCATTTATAATATTTTTTAATCTTTTTTCTCAAAAGTGAGCAGTCATAATCATAAAGAAACAAACATATAAATATTCATAAACAATAAAAAAAATATTCAAGGAACCATTATTATTAATTATTCAGAATAACCTGCCAGCTGGTAAATTCTATTAAATTTAACATTTGACACAGTAAAACTTCACAAAGCAAAGATCATAAACTGAAATGTAACCCAATTTTTTTTTTTTTTTTTTTTTTTACACATTTTTGTCATTCCATTTTTTATTTGTTTCCTGCTGAACCCAAGGAATTTCAATGAGTATGGACAACAAAGCTATGGAATTTTCTCTTATCCATTCTTTATTTGGATTCTGTTTATTTGTATGCATGATAATTATATTAGTTGACCTCGGATCAGAGTGTGGTATCTGTGGGATCTCCAGGTTTTCTGAGCTGGAATTGGTCATGCATTTTGACTGAGAATCCACATTCTTATTCTGCTTGTATGTATGAATGTTAAGGTTTTCTACAGATAATCAGAGTGTAGTATCTGCTTTCTCTCACAAAATGGGATGATGTACCTAGAAGTTTCATCTCTATATATTGTGGAACATTAATTGCATTCATCTTTCTCCCACTCTTTCATTTAACTCTGTAAAAAAATATAAAAACTAAAAACTTTTTTTTATGGAACATGTACCTCACCTGTGAACATTGAAACATTGTTTTGTTTTTTTTTTTTTGTTTTTTTTTTGTTTTCTTTTTTAAAATCACCATTCAAAAGAAAAAGAAAATTCTGGAAGAAAGAAATTTCTTGAGAAATATCTCATCAGCCACTCTATGAATTACTACATTCATCACCATCTCTGAATTCTATTTACTCTCCCAAATTTCCAATGCATCCTGGGTATAACGATAAACTACATCTGATGGCAAGACCTCTGATCCTGAAGTTTTGAGGAGCATGGAACTACCTCTTAATTGCTGTTGTTCCCAGGTCCACCCTGATCTGGTACCAGCTATGGGCAAATACTTAACCTCTAAACCAGGGTCAAAAGACTATGAAAGTGTAAAAATAGATTTTTATAGTAAAAATAGTAGCAATATATTTTTGAAAAAGAAATATTACCAGCAATATATTTGATGCTTGACAAGAAAGTCTCTTTACAAAAATACATCAATGAAACCATATCTACAAACTGATTTCTTACAAAAGAATACATATTCTATTCTTACAAACCTAGCCTAAAAATCTTGTCAGCATTAAATAACCCACTGAGGTGTTGATATGTCATAAAAGAAAGTAAACCAACACAATTCTCAACTAGAGTAAGAAAACTGAGGAACAAAGTATTTTCTCATGACATATCTTGTCAGTTGCAGCAAAAAAAAAATTCTCTACTACAGTGGCAGATAACTCTGAACTTATATAAGTATTTTTCTCAAGAAAGATTTTATTTGCAAAAGGGATCTTTTCATAAAAACATCTCTTTAAAAAAAAAAAAAAGAAAAAAAAGTTGTTTTCAAGTTTTATGCATTAAAAAATTACATATAAAAAAAAAATTCTCCCAAAAGTCTTATATAAAAATATGCCACAGATATTTTGCCTGAATGAAAAGTATTCACTGATCTTAATAGATTTTTAAATAACAAAAGCAAATATCAAATGAAAAGAAAAAAAAATGTCTTTTGTTTTGAAAATTCTTGGTTCACTGAATAGACATCAGCTTTCATGGCTTTTTGCCAGCTGAAAAAAAAAAAATCATAAAACCTGAACTTTGGTAAACCTATCTGACTTTACAATAAACTTTGGAGAGAGAGAGAGAGACATCTTTTGATCAGACAAAATAGGTTTTATTTATGAGGGGATGTTGGAAAGCTCTTCTCACAACCCACTTCCCAAAATCTGAGCATTACTTTGTAGTTAGAAACTGTTCTTTCACACTGTAAAATGCCAATTTGCTGGAGCCTTATACTTATATTTTGAATTGTCTCAGACTGGGCTATATTTGACAGAAAGTATGTAATTTTCAAATGTTAAACTCCAAGTTGTCATCAAGTTCCTGTTACCACAGAAGGAAACTTTAAAGGAACTCCATGAATACAGTGATTGATTGTGCGTGTGTATTCTTTTTTTTTTACAGTTTATCAACCTTTTGCAGGTTATTTAAAGCCAGAAAATATTTTTAGATTGTAAGAATTTTTTGGAGTTTATAATTGTTAACTATGCTGACTCTTGTAGTCCTACCAAGAATTGAACTCACCATCCTTGGCTAACAAATTTCTGAAGATATGAGACTCCTCAGCTTAATGAATGTGTTCTAAGCAATGGCAGTAGATTGTTTCCCTTCCTGACAAAGTGGATTTAACCTTTAGACATAATTTAAATTTACTGAAATTTCTCCTCAGTGAACATTTTTCCACATGTGTGGTGAAGTGCCGTCACTCATTTTATTGAGCAAGAGCCCATTTTAACATCTGATGGCAGAACATAGTTCATAAAAAAGGACAAATGGCTACAAATTTGAAGTTTTTAGTCCCACCAGTGCTTATACCAGAAAAGTATTATGCCTGGAAAAAAGTAATGATTGATTGATTGATAGATATGTCCCACTAATTAACCCATAGCCGGGGGAGAAAATGTAGATTCCTAACTTTACCAAGGGTATTTGTGCATAAATGAAACTCAAAATTTTAACTTGGCTCTCCAAATTCCCAATTCTGTGTCATTATACATGACACCACCCCCACATGATATTCCCAAGTGGTCACCTATCTAGGTTCTTACCAGGCTCAATGTTGCTTAACTCCGGTGATCATACAAGAACCAGTGTTTTCAGCATGATATGGTTGTAAGCCTCCATGAATTTATGAATACAAATGTTAGGTGACAAGTGCATGTTATACTCAACTTAGATGTGATGTGCCAACTTCCAGTGGGTATATTTTGAGGTCCCAAATGCAGCATGGTCTAAAAGACCTTCAATAGTGTCAATTAGTTAATTTGGTTATTATTGACCTAATTTTGGCTGATTAATGAATTTCAAATGAAATAATTGTCAAGATACCAGATGTCCTGGGAATGAGTTGGGTTTATAATACATGAACAGTTCAGTTGTGCAGAAACTGTTTGCCAAATGGAAACTAAAATGCTTCAATGCTGACCAGATATCAAATGGACACCTTCAAGTTGCCAAGTTGCAATTCTTTTCTTTTTTTTTTTATTTCACCCCAAAACAAGGCAACAAAAGTGTAAGTGAAAGAAATAGAAAGGACAATAAAAGAACAGGATCCAAGGAGACAGAAGATTACAATTAACATTACATTTAAATTTTTGAAGATTGGAGTTGATATGAAAGCAAGTTGAAAGAGATTTCCACAAGTGAGAAGTGCAGGAGAAGGACTCATGGTTGCAACTAGCAATTACATCAGTGAAATTATGAGATTTAGCTGCCGATCTAGCACTGTCTATATCCCTGAGATGAGGTATCATGATTACTTGCATTATTTACATTATTTGGGCTGTTATCCTCATCTTCATGGCCCATTGGATAAAGATGTTGGTTAGATCCAGTGACTAGACACAAAGAGTTGTGAATTCAATACCTGGCCACAGCAGTGGTGAACCAAAAACTTGGAGAGTTGAGTTAAACAGAAATAACAGACATCTGGAAGAGGCATGGCACGTGGAACTAGAATAATCTACTCTGGTGGATGAAATAAAGGGTACGGTTTGAAATTCCAATCACCGGAAGAAGGCCAGAGCATACAATGGCTGAGACATTGTGAATATGGCAATGAAGATGAGGATAACAGTCTGAATAATATAAATGATGCAAGCAATCTAGTACTTAAATTCCTGAGGGAAGCTCATCAGAAAAATTACCTTGATAATACTTGTAGAAAAGGCATAGGAAGGCTACATTATATTGGCGGAAAGTGACTGAAGCCATCTTTTGAAAATTGCAATGATGGATAAGTATGTTCAGTCAATGGTATTTTATTCTAGTTTACCATTTCTCTACGTACACTATTTTAATTTAGTAATATTAAATAGCCAAACACACCTTGTATCTACATGTAGATGTTCTACCTTAATAACAAATATAATACAATGAGTCCTTGTATTCATGGGGGTGAGGTACCAGAACTGGCCACGAATACCTGTATCCCCACAAAAAAGTGCTTATAAGTACCTATTTTGATTGTTAAAATCCCATATGCCTTAAACTTTCATCCTAAACACTTTAGAAACATTTCAGACCCTTTTTAAAACATTTTTGATAAATATTATTGGTGACCATACACTTAGCGTAAATTTTCTTTCATACATACAATAACAGTTTTTAATTACGCATAGATCAATACAACCATTAAAAATACTGTATAAAATATATGTAACAAGACAAAACACAAAGTTTAAAACATTTTCTAAAAACAGAACTGTGATGATGTCCCCCAACTTAGCATAATCCTCTTTTAAGACCCCAGCCGCAGCCCCTAACAAGGAACAAAGCCCAAGCACTATGCATGTTTTTGTATTTGTTTGTTTTTTTTTTACAATGAAGATGTACAATTCTGCTAATTTTTACCATTAAAATGAACTGTTATATGTTTCAAGTCACTTAAATAACAGGAAAATAATCCAAGAATATTTTAGTTATGTTCTATCGAAAAAATACATGAATCAAGAGAGTTCTTAGCGAATAATCTGTACATATGTTCTTCGGAAAAACACACAAATAATCAGGTTTCTGCAAATAACAAGTACATATGAAAAAACCTGCATTCTGTGAAATTTATTCCATATACATTTACAGACATAAACACTGGTTAATGTTTAAAAACCTGGCTTATTTTTTCTTGACTGATATAGAAAAGGTAATTTTGTCCAATGCTAAAATTTGCAGGCTTTTCAATCATTTAATGACTTGTCACTGCTGATGAAACAGTCATGCCATTCTGGTCCAAAGACCAAACAACAGTCCAGAGACTAACAATGGCAGCATTTCTGTTCTCCACAGCCAAAGAAATTCAAGACCAAAAGAAAAGCAGAGAATATTTTTCTGACCCATTCCTTTTGCTTTCAATGCCACTTTTAATCAGTGTTTCATGTTAGAGTAGCAGACTGCATTAGCTGTTTGTCTCTTCTAAAGATAGTCAATCATCAAAATATTTTCTTTATCCCCCAGTCAGTTATGTGCCATGCATGATTCACACTTAGGCGATGATGGATCTTTCGATACATGACTGATGAGGCAGGTTCTTTCCTCCACAATCGGCTGCCATTTCTTTCTGCAGTAGACCAGTTGCCATCCAAGGCTATAGAACCCGGTTTGTTCAGCTATTTACCCATGGCTGAGGGAAAAAGGATTCGTACCTTTCCCAAGGTTGTTAGCATATAAGTGAATATAATGGATTCAACTGGAATTTGAACTTGGGTCTCCAATTCCTCAATCCAAGCTGCTATCCATTACTCCTCCTTATATATATATATATATATATATATATATATATATATCTCCAAGAAATTTTCATAGAAAATATTCATCCTCCGGTTCCGTATAGGATACAGGTTTGATTCCTGTCGGAGCATGAGTATTTTCTATGAAAATTTCTCAGACATTCAGGCCGGTAAATGTTATTAATACTATTTATTATAAAACAGAGCATTTACTTAAATATTTGTATCTATAAAAAGAATGTATAAACATAAAAATGTCTTAAAATAATTGTCAGACTTTGTCCATTTCATTTTATATATATATATATATATATATATATATATATATATATATATATATATATATAGAGATAGAGAGAGAGAGAAAGAGTCTGTCTGTGGATGACTATATATGCTCCTGGAAATATGGTTGAGCTCTCTAGGGAAAGGGGGTTTTAAAAACAGTAGTTCCTACTGTTATTAAGCATTACTCTTTAAGTATCAATTGAATTCTCAAAGTCAATGGCATATTTCATATAGAGAAAAACATTAAAATTCTCTTCCTTTCTGCAGTGCAAAAATGGCCTAGGGGTAAGATATCTGACTGATGTCAGATTTCAATCCCAGCTTGAAGCAATTGGACGTCTAGCCACACTGAGGAGCTGTGATAGAGCAAAACAGTCTGTCTGTGGATGACTATATATATATATATATATATGTATGTATGTGTGTGTGTGTAATTCAGAAACATCTAAAAACAAAATGGAAACACAGTCAAGAATCAAAATACCAAGTTAGGTTTGATCCAACAAATCAAGAATTTGCAATTCCTGTGTATCACAATTTTGGAACCAACTGTCAAATTTAAGAGATCATTCACTTTCACTCAAACAACTACACATACAATTATTGATATTCATCAATAAAAGTGAGTACACAATATAGAGAATGTCTGTATATATTGAAAATAATGCTGATCTGTGTTACAATGCCTTGTCAATCCTGACCTCAATTTCATGTACAGAAGATACCAGATAAATATACAATTACAATTTCTTGACAATGTGGATGAAAGTGTTTTACTGCTACTGTCTGGGAAGGCAACATAGTTGGTATTGTGGTGGTGGTGGGGGAGGGGAGATTCTCAACATGCTCCAGCATGTTCATTCTCAGTATATCTTACAATGAGAGAAGAGTTTGCTTTCACTCTTCAATAGTTATGAATCCATCTTTTCTCATACCTTGTTTAGCAACCAGTCTAGGAGAAGGACAATTGTAAATTGAAAACTAGTTAAGTCTACAGGATTTATATACATACACATTTGAGAAGGTTATAACAAAAACAAATCTCTAACTAATATAAAATAATAATAATAAAGAAAAAAAAATCAACTATAGGTGAACATGAATTAGTTCTCTTAATGCTAGTGATATAAATTTTACTAATTAAGCCATAGATTGGGGGTGGGAGAAGAGGTGGATTCATACCATTCCCAAGGATATTTGTGCATAAATCAATGTAATGAACCCAGATGAAATTAGAACTAGGCTCTTCAATGAACAATTCTGAGCCATTATCTATTACACTGCTTACACATCCAAACTTACAGCACCTGGTATCCCGAAGTAGTCACCCATCTAGCTACTGACCAGGCTCAACCTTGCTTAACTTCAGTGATTGTATGGGAACTGGTGTAACTCCTTGATAAATATGTTGTTGACTCAAATTTTGAATAATAATAGAAATTAAGCTTCATCAGGAAAATCAGTGTTAAATTATATATTAAGCACTTGCCAGATAATTAGACAGTAATCAAGTCATTAACTAAATTAAAATCTAGTATTTTGTACATACAGTATTTTGTTGGTTATATTATTAACTGGTGGACTTAGTAGTTAGCAGTTAAAGAAACAATGACTGACATGAAGACTTCATGTTTAACAGAATAAGTTATGACTTTTTTTTTTTTAAAGACATTTTGTAAAGTATGACTAATGGGATATTTTTAAACATTATTATTTCTAACACCTTCAAAAGCTGATTCTGTAGATCTTACTTATTATAAAACGCAGATTGTGTGTGTCTGTACGTTTATATATTGGATGGGATTTCCTACATTTTTCAACTAATTTCAACAAAACTTCACAGGACTGCATAAAATTACCTTGCGGTGGTTCTGGCAGCGCCAAAAATTGGAAAAACAATTATTTTTGCACATAATCAATTTGAAAACACAATTGTCGCCAGAATGAAAGGGAGACAACTCATATCGAGTTATACTTATAAAACCCAGGTTGTTTGTGT